CAAACAATCATGTCGTCTTTGGTTCAAAGGAATCATACAGAACTGTTGTAGGGTTCTGTTGTTAGAAATTTTTCCTATGTGACTTGTTTGACCCTGGAAATCATAAAAAGTTTCCTATGGCCTACTTTGCATGACTGGAAAGAAAATTCCACTGCATCAAACATTGTGGTTGATTTGTTCAATTACAAGTTTGTGCTTACACCCGATGCTTAAGAAAATTCTTGTATTTTTCTCGTGGTGCAACAAAGCAACATCTATATATTACATGTTCCTATATTTTCCGGTTCTCATAGGATTCAACACACCATGACATCAAATTCCTACGCTATTTTTTCCCATTTCTTTGTCTTTGAAACATTGCAATCTGTCGGGAAAACTGATCCACCAACACCTATGAGGACGGGCCCCTTTCGGTTCGGAGGGGGGCGGAGGCCGCGCAAAGAGCGGATCGAGGCAGTACACGCGAGCAGTTTTACCCAGCTTCGGGCCGCACGGATGCGTAAAACCCTACTGCTGCTTGTTTGTGTGTATTGAATTCTTGCTCAGGAGCGATGGACGCTGCCAGACCGAGCGTGAGAGTGTCCCTGATGTTTCGAATGAGCCCCCCAACCTCCTCTACGTTGCGCTTGGGCCTCCTTTTATACTTTCAAGGGGTCACCGACAGGTGGCAACGTAGACTAGAAGGGTAAAAATGGAAAAGGATGCGGTAGGTGCAGCTACCGCTACTGTGGACACAGTGCACCCTACCTAACTCTGACGGCAGGGGACAAGGTCATTGAATGCCCGTCTGAGTTGCCTAAACAGTGCAAAAAGTGACCGTTAGGAGCGCCACCGTTTGCCACGATGGCCTTCTCTTCATCTCCGCTTGCCACCGCGTACCCTTGGCTGCACAGGCTCCCGCCGCGCGCCCCTGAGGAAGCCTCATGGCGACACGCGGGTGGGTGCGCTGGAGCGTGGGTACAGAGTGGCAGCGGGCCCCCGGCGAGTACCTTGTCGGGGTCGTCGTCTTCTCGAGTCCGGAAGCTTGTCGCTCACCGGACCTTGCCGGGACGTGCGGTGCATCGCGGCAAGTTTCTTGAAGTGACGTGGTTGGCCTTCCCGGCAAGCTCCTCTTGCCGGGGCCTTGTCTCTTCCCGGCAAGATCCTCTTGCCGGGGCCTTGTCTCTTCATCTTGAATGCTTTGTTCTTGAATGGCTCCAAAGGAACCCACGGAGGACTCTGGCGGTCGTCCGGCAAGCCTTGCCGCGCGGCGCTGCAACTGCCCGTGCACAAGTTCGGGATACTAGGGTACCCCTACTCTAGTACACCGACACAATCGAAAGAGGCGCAAGTTATTCAAATATAGTGGAAGTGTGACGGTTATTGAAATACCTATAGAATATAGATGAAGATGTTTATAAATTCAGCATGTAACACTTAAACAACAAAAGAGTCAGTGTGAGAGGAAGACACTTTGTGCTTCCCAAATATCGAAAAGGCCAAGGGTTAACGGCCTATGTTTAGAATAGAGTTATTAAATATTTGGTAAGGTTTAGTAATTTATTATTTCAAAATTAACTTTATGCATATTCAAAATTTTACCAATTAATACTATTATTCAACAAGCCCACAAATCCTTAAGCATAATAAATCACAGAGATCCTTACATGTATTGTAATTACAGTGTATAAACCAACTCTAACAACAGATCAATATTGGCTCTAGCTCCTTATAATAAGAAAGAAGCTAGCTAGAGAGAAAGGGAATCAAATGATGTGAAGAGGTGGTTCTATCCTTATTCCTCTTCCCTAAACGGCGATCCCTAGGTCACTCGCGTCCATCCTTTTGCCAAATTTGTGTGTGTGTGTGTGTGTGTGTGTGTGTGCGCGCGCAACATCTGTCATCTCATCTCTCCTTCATCCTCCCCGCTTGCCTAGAAATATTGTGTGATGTGACCGGTACCGCTGACATGGAGCTCCGGATGCCCTACACGAAATATCGGTGATCTTTAAAATATCAGGACATAAGAAACAAGTCAAGAAGTGCATATCCGTAGATGGAGCTTTCTACAAGCAGGGTGAGACGGATATATTGGCAACACCCACTCGGTCCCCTCTTGCCTGTATGGGATTTTCTTATTTATAAAAATTAACTGCTGATGAATAAGTTATATACATCTAGCGGATGGGATTGCATGGATGGATATGTTCACTTTTTATATTCTTTTTTGAAAGATTCAAAAATGGCAATTCTCTTAGCTCCAAGAAAAGCAACACAAAATCCTTCTTCTCCGAGAGCGACACCCAGTGCACCCGCAAGGGAACTAGCACACAGAGCGGCAACCAGTTTAGGGAGCCGCCCTTGGATCCGGAGTCACACACCGGGTGTCGAACTTCTTCCCCATCACGGGGTCAAAGGTGTGTTAGTGCGCGGAGGTAATGGATGTGTGGGAGAGGATGAGGATTGTACGGAGGAGGAGCCGAACCGGCTTTCAAGCCGGAGTAGGCTTCTCGGTCACCGCACCGCTATGAATGCGAGTAGGCGGGATGCCGGCCTGGCAGAGTGAATGCGGTCAAGCCGGGGCGGATGCGGCAGAAGAATGTTATGGGTGGGTCTGGGGCGTCAGAGTTTGATGTGGCGAACATCCATTCTTCCCCCAACCTCCCCCAGCTCGGTGCCGGTTTGCAGGATTTTGAACGTCCGGACTGGTTGGACAAATTTTGTGACAGCCGTTGGATGGCCAAAATTGTTCGGACATTTGCGGTGAACTTTGGTGCTCCACATTGGAGTTCGCCTTAGCGTGGCCATGCTAGATTCGGGGGTTCCTAAAGCATCATGTATTCAGTTGGACACAAGTGTGTTTGGGTGTCCTTTCCATGTGCTTTCATTGGCACTGATCTATTATTTATTTTGGTTTTATCTCCATAAATCTTATGGAATATAATGGTGTGACCTATCGTCTTGTAAAAATAGTGGATCAACAGCACATGATGGTATGTAGCATGACTTGGAAGCTTGCTGAACAAATACCTTTTCTTATAAATTAGAGGCATAGAGGTTTCGTGGTGTAGTTGGTTATCAGGACCTTCTAACACACTGAAGGTCTCCGGATCGAACCCGGGCGAAGCCATCTTATTTGTGTTTTTTTTTCAATTGTGTAAAAAAAAGTAAAAAAAAAAAGATGATCATGGCCCATACAGGTCTCGAACCTGTGACCTTCGCGTTATTAGCACGACGCTCTAACCAGCTGAGCTAATAGGCCTTTTGCGTAATTTCTTTATTCTAAGGCAAGCTATTTGTCGAAACTGAATGTCAATTGTTTTTGATGCTATATACTATGAAAATAAAAGGGAAACCCTCCCTGCATCGCGCTAATTTATACGGTGAGCTTGAGCAGGAAGAGACGGCGGTGGGCACCAAGCCACCAACGTTCGGGATGCCAAAGTATTGGCTCGTCTCCAAGGTAGCAGGGATGAACTATTTCATAACTATTTTGTCCCAAATCACAAAATTGTTCTATCATTCCAGGCATGATATGATATCTGCTCCAAGTGGAAATGCAGCGTACGAACAATAAAATGAGAAACAGTAAAAAGAAAATCAAAACAATCTTTTTTTTTGTAACAAACATTTTTTGGGTGGACGCAACGAAGATTTTTTATTGTCTGACATACGTGCAAAGTGTCATGAAGAAAAAAAATTCGTGATTCTCTAGGCAAAACAAAATTCGAAGCTTCAAAAAGGCTGTTTTCCAAAGCATTTTTGGAGCCCTGGTTTTGTTATTTTCGTCCAGGCCAACACCTATGCCATTAACTTTGCATGTGGGTAGACCACTAAGCAATATTTGTTGACAAAAATTATATCCGATTTTATTGACTTTTTTGTTCATTTTTTTTATTTTTACAGTTCACAGCAAGGGCATATGAGCTCGGGTGTAGGCTGATAATTTCTTTCCTGTGGGGATTACTAGATAGAACGGTATTCAAGTTTATGAAACAAGACATTTCAAAACTACTCCCTACGTTCCAAAACATTTTCAAGTTATAGGTTAATAATAATGTACCATCTCCGACACCAAATTAGTTTCACTATATTCATCATAAAGTATATTTTCGTACTAGTACATATATATCATGAATATTAATATATTTTTTATAAACTTGGTCAAACTTAGGAAGTTTGACTTGCGACAAACCTAGAACTACAAATATTTTGAAATGGTGGAAGTATAAAATACTCCCTCCGTATCGAAATATAAGCCATATTTTGACACTATCATAGTGTCAAAAAACCGTCTTATATTTTGATAGAGGGGGCAAATTAAAAGTTCATGAAGATGTTGCGGAAAGGTATATTCAAATCAGCACAAACAAAACTGATTTTGTTCACCCTACACATGTACACTTAGCCCAGGGCACAAAGAAACCTAAGGATCAGGCAAGTTCACTGTAAAGTTTACTTCAAGATAGCAATTACACTAGCAACACAAACATCTATCCCTCTGTTACGTACGACGGGAAAGGCGAGCACAGATCAAAAAACCACACATACAAACTACCATTATTGAACCGAGCATTCTCGCAAAAAAAAGTTGCGCCGGCCGGCTCAATCTCAACGCTGCATCAGAAAATTGCAGCTGTCATGCTTATCAACACCATCTCATCCTAACTCAGCTCCATCTCGTCTTGCGAATGACGGTGACCCAACCCCCAGATGGAATATTGATTCAGATCTAATAAAGAATAAAGAAATTCACAAGCACGGCAGAAGCGGGTAATTTACATGGTCCACTCAAACATCTGCAAAATTGACAAAATCCGTTAGCGGCCTCCAAGTAGTGAAAAAGAGAACAGGGTGCGGGGCGGGCGAGTGGAGATAGGGGATATGATTGAAATTCAACAGCACACACCTTTTCACAGTTTGGAGCAGAGGAATTCAGATATGGATTCTTCTGCAACAAAAATGATCGATTGCGCCAGTTCCCGTTGAAAACTTTGTACATTGAAATGTCAAACCATAGATTATTGAACCCCTAGATCATTTGACAACTGCAATATTCCGCGCATTTGAAGGTATGGGTTCTCCAGAAGTTTTTCATTGTTACACTGGAAACGGCGTAAATAAATGTCAGTGCCAACTTAATCTAGAGACCAGATGCATGTGCGGAACTAAATTTATTGTGAGACTTGTACTGCCTGAATGTGTCAGCAGGAACTAATCTAGATACCAGTTGCATCCGAACAATATTCCTCTGGTATTTGAAATTTTTACTGACAAGATGAGATAGGAAAAGAGCATCAACCTGTTGAGCTTTTGAAATGAGGCTTTGGAGCATCCTTTGGTAGACATCTGGTTCCTCTGTCATCATCCGCTGTACAACCAAAAACTTTATTAGGGCCAAGTGCAACAGGAATGTCAGTAAGCAGTCAACAACTGCTGACAAGCATACCTTCAAGAGAAAGGCAGCAGAATAATATGCCACCCTTGAGTCTGTATCATCTAGAAGCCCCCTGTTGGTGTCGAGTGGAGAAGGGACAAACATCAAGTATTAGCTATATAAATCAACTTCAAACGAAGAAGATATGCAGCTTACAAAAGATTACCTGAAGAACTCATTGCCTTCTACTTCCGAAAGTGCTTCTGGATCAGCTGTGCATTTACCAATCAAAAGCAAAAGAAGCGCTGCTCTAATATCTGATGTAGCACCAGGGATATTGCCTCTTCCTGTGCTACCAACAGCAATACCCAATGCAATATCATCGCTGGCAGCGCCTTCAAGTTGCATCAATGGCCAGAAAAATAATGAAGTTGGCACACGGGCTACAAGCTGCATCGGAGCTATCGCAAGACCTTTCAGAAGTAGTGCTGACATTGATGTTTCGCAGAGCAGAGCGGATTGAGTAGATTGATTCATGCCTGTATCTTGCAATGTCTCATTCCTGGAAAGGCTCTTCGTTCCTATGGTTTTGTGTGATGCAAGGGTTTCCAATGTGCACTCCATGTTCTTAGTTGTGCAACCAAAAAGTTGACCAAGGGATTGAAGGCCGCCCAGTTGCATCACATTTGTGGACGGAAGCCTCAAACATAATTGTGAGAACAACATGTCACACATCTATATGAGGAAACTTTGAATTAGAGGATAGATCATATAAATTAAGAATACTAATGGTTGATTTAGACCAGTATTAAACAGGAGATCTAAGAGGTTATCAATTATGTTTAGAAATAAAATTGGCTACAGATCAACTAACTATTAGCAGTTAACTGGGTGTACAGAGCGCTATAATCTGCATTTAGAAACTACCTATTACCTTTGAGAAATTACATTTGTAAGTAGTTCATTGTCAGTATTAACTTTTCAGAAAGCAACTTTAATATTCAAAGATAGTGCTAGCTTGCAGTGCAAAGGCGAAATGCCTGCATTTTGGGTGAAAGAAAATCACCTTTAAGATGTTGATATGGTCTGTCTCATTACTTTGAAACACGAGTAGCAAAGCAGTACTCATAACATCTATAACCGCAAAAGCTTTGTCCAGACGGTTTTTGCTATGATAAGCAACTGAATGCTCCTGCATGTCACTGTCATCCAATAATAATTTGCACCGCATCAGAAATTTCTCTAAAACATATAGAAATCCCCATCTGATGTAGTTGTGCTTTGATTTCAGAAGCCCACACAGCAGACAAACGGGCAGTGAAACTTCTGGACACGAGGTGTCGTGGCTTCCAGCATCTTTAATTTCCTCCTGAAGGTTTTGGATTTTAGACCAAACAGAGCCATCTGTTTCTTCACTTACTTCCGAGAGGAGCAATTCAACTAACCAAATATATCCATGGTGCCTGTATGATGAAATTTGTGAGTGAAGAAGTGAGTGCAAAGTAGCCCAGCAAAGCCTTGCCCTAGATGCAATGTCACCATCTTCAGATCCATCTTGAATGCTGCTGAAACACTTGAAGGATTTTGTTACTTGGATCATATAAGCAAACTCATTGTCAATCCTTGAAAATGTGCTCACAGTTCCATCAAGTTTCCTGATAACCTTGTCCAGAAGCTACAAATATTGAAATTTTGATCAGGACCAGTACAGTAAATGGTATTTCAAAAATAAAATTCCGAATTATGTACTCCCTCGGATCCAAATTAATTGACGCACTTAATTTGGATCAGAGGGAGCACTTTTTTATAAGGGAGAATCTTGACATATATTCATGGTGTTTTACCATGAAACAAAGTCAGACAAATAAATGTGTAGGACCATGTTGCAGGACCTAACGGTTAATTGAGAAAAGAATGTGGATTCTTGGTCATGACTACTGCCTATTTATGTGAACATGTGCAGACCATCACATAACATACACACTACAGTTGATTGTAGGGGCCCTCAATGTTGTGGATACAACTTACTTTGCGCAACTTCGAACATGATGTTTTACGTGTGTAGAGCAATTTAACAAAGGTTCAACAGCTGTACTAAGCACTAACTACTAGCTTAGTCTCTAACACTGTCTACTCTCATGTAAAAAACACTGTCGACTCTTATAGCATTGTAAGAAAAGATAGTGGTCCTTGTTGGGAAAGACTAGGGGGAAGGAGACTTTACCGTGTTTAATTGCTCGTATTCTGCTGACTGTGATAATGCCGCAGATATAGCTTTTGTCAGCATATCCCCAACACCTTCGACACCATGCTTCACAGATATATAGAAGGCCTCCGGAGCATCAGCAGATGCAAGAAGGGAAGCAAGGGGTTGAGCATCATCATAAGTATATGTTGAAAGACCAGCAGCCAAGCATGTTTCGTTTATTTGATGCACTACATAGTCAAAAAGAACAAAAAACAAATCCCGCTTCTCTTCCTTCGAGTTGGCTCGTGAATACTGTAAATGAAAAGGTAACATAGATTAACGAAGAAAAATTACCATCATGAATAGTACAAACAGAGACTGAAATGGATTAGCATTGCATGATAATAATTCTGATTTTAACGACCATCAGTTATCTCATGGAATTTGTTGGTTTGAGATAGTATAGTAGTGACCATTGGCGCAGATTTTATGGATCTATGATTGACCGAACTTTTCTCTCAAGTAAAGAATACAGCACCTCACCAGTTTTTCTGGGATACCCATCTTGCCAACCACACGTGGGACACTAGGTGCAGTAAAAATTGTTTTAAGCATAAGAAGTCCTATTTACGTTCAGACATATTCCTGGGGTTCAGTGTGAACCTACGAGGAAAGAAAATTCCGCATATGATTGCAGTTGCCATTCGCCACTCAGTACCAACTAGCCGATCCCCTTCATTCCAGACAATATTGACCAGTATTTTGAGACAAAGTTATTGAATGGAATGGGATATTCCAGCTAGTACCAGAATGGGATAGCTAAGATTAACTGCAGATGGAAAGAACCAACATAACTACTCCCTCCGTTCGGAATTACTTGTCACAACAATGGATGTATCTACAACTAAAATACATCTAGATACATTCATTTCTTGGACGAGTAATTCCGAACGGAGGGAGTACATGGCAGTGAAGCACTGGTGGGTTTACTTGCCTATAGAGCAGGTCTTTCATTGGACTATCTTCTGGCGTATTATTGTTTACTTGTACTTTGTGCAGAACTGAGATAATAAGATAATAATGTATTGCAGTCAAATAGACATACAGCTCAGTTGTAAACAGACATCAATAGCATGCATGAAACAGCATAGTTCTATCTAAAGATAAAGAGTAACACTAACCTCAAGACAGATATAATCAACTCCACCAAGAAGATCTATCCGTTCGGGAACAAAATGTGTATCAAGTGCACCACTCTGAGTCCCATCTGGTACTTGGTACAGCATATTTGTCAGCATGCAAATGAGCTTGCTGTGCACTACTTTTGCCCATGAGTGTTCCACACTAATCTCAAGAAGAGTCTTAACAACCTGTTCAGGATTTAAAAAATGCACACGTGGTTCTCAAACCCTTCTTTGACAGCAAGGAATAGCACAATTTACAGAAATTGCTGTAAACTACTGCCTCCATTTCAAAATATAAGACGTTTTGGCAGTTTCAATTGAACTGCCAAAACGTCTTATATTTAGGAACAGAGGGTGTAGTAAACAGACTATATGCTATTCCCTCCAATCCAAAATAAGTGTTGTGGTTTTAGTTCGGAGTGACACATTTTTAGAAACCTATGCCAGATGAAGGTCAAACAGGCTCATACGCCAAATATATGAGAAAAATGCATGACCACATACATAAAAGAAGAAGTCCAAGTGCATTTCACAGCCTGCTATCAAAGAAAAATCTTGTGCTGGAATAGCATTCTACACCCAACCCATACATTCGGAACATATCAACACCAGTAATAATATACTCAAACCTGTAGATCCAATTATTTTCAGTACCGCTGCTATTGGTTATTTTTATTTTCCATCTTTCAATTGTGAATATAAAATGACAATAAAAATATGCACATCTTGCCATGTAAGCAGAAATCCATACTACATGCTCAACTGATATATGTTTAGCATTAATGGGACATAAAGGTATAGTTTCAACTACAACTCCAATTTTCTATATATAAATGGCTAGCCCTCAATTACCTATTTCTATCAACATGCAAGCATGTCACCTCAGCATGCACCATGCATTGGAAAAGACCCGCCACAAGATGCAATCATGCATAGAAAAAAGCCCACCTCAACATGCAAATATGCATGCGAATGTTCATTCTATTAGGCTATTTATATTTTACAAATATACAACAATCAAACACAATAAGTCATATGTATTTACAGTTTTAGTTCTCATATTATTACTCCAAATATTCATGTTCCGTATAATCAAATACCACTGAAATTATTTCCCACAACAAAGTGTTGGGTATCATCTAGAAGTGAAGTGTTGAACACTGTTAGTCCAAAGGCACGCGAATAACAAGACTGACAAAATGTTACAAATAGGGTCCAAGCACACGACTCAAAGAATGAATACATGAAAAAAACCTTAGTTTCCTTACCCTTATGTCCAAACCTCCAAGTCTGCTCCTGATGATTTTCCCTCCATCACAAACAAAGTAAATTAGACAACTTAAAGCTGATGCCCACACGATCTCCTGCCGCTCCTCCATCTACAAAACCAGAAGTAACAAATAAAGGTATTGTACGTACCAGCCTAGCATAAAATGGAGCAATCTACATGTTGTGGTGTAAACATGCTTGCACGTGTACATAGATGAATATAATACACATTCCCTTGTGCTTAAGAGGAGGGCCAATATGACTACCAAAATGCATACAAGTTCAATATTCTAAAAGTAACAATCACCTGAACCAAGAGAAGGAGAACTTCAAATAGTATTTTGAGAAGCCATGACTCAAACTGATCAATAGCAGGACTAATCCTTTGCTCTTCTTCAGGTTCCGCTTCCCTCTGTTCATCCATATTGGGTCCGTACTCATTGTTCAGATAAGAGTTGCTTGTAGTATCACCTTTTTCAATAAGTGGTGCATCTTCAACTATCATAGGCTCCAGAAGGTGTGCATGAATCCCAAGGTTCAGAATCAGATCGAAAGCCTTTGTTCTGGCAGGTGATTTCTGAGAGCTTAACATGCCCTGAAACATAAAAAAATGTTAGAAATATTTCACATGATCTGTTTTGGGATACAGCTGTGCAGAGTATAACACCTCAAGCATATAAAGTGTCAGAGGAGCAGCAGCCTCAGAGTCCATCATATACCTGAACCAAGGAAGAGAAACAAATATTATCAAAACCCTAAATAAGTGTAGTTCTATGGTTGCAAAGGTTGCTTTAACACCAAGCCTAAATAAGTGCAGTTCTATGACATTTTGAGATAAATATTTGCTCACATTTTGCAACGGTTGTTCTTTGATGCATGCATTCATTACTCAAACTACTATTTGATAACAGAAATATGGCAAACATGGAAATCTTTAGTACGCGTGCAGAGTGCATCAGCCTTACATTTCATAGAAGCAAAGCGTACAGCCTGCTGACAACCCAAGTAAAACAGAGACATGATTATACAAGAAAAAAGTAGCAGAACAATAGGCAGTTCAGATCAATGATGACAATGTCGCAGGTCAGATCACATAGATATTCATGTAATAAAAATACTTTGCATTAATTAGAGCATATGTTTTGCAATTGAAATGCATTCATAGTAAAGAAAATATACTGTCAGTTAACAATAAGTTGTTCAGGTCTGATATCAGCAGTAATATTAGATATAAAAGTACAAGAATCATGCTGTCACCATAATACCAATAATGGAGACAGCAGTAGAAAAAACTAGATATGCAAATACGATGTGCGAACTGGAGGTAAAAAGAATGAAAAGATAAGGGTGTAAGGTCATATACATGTCAATAACAAGTTTAATGAGGACACTAAATGCCACATCCGCTGAAGGTTGCCGACTCTGGGTGGTCAATCTTGATGGAGCATTAAATTGATTTGCATTTGAAGTTGTTTCTGAACAAACTTCAGCAATGACTTCAGAAATTTCAGCAGGGTTCAATCGCAAGGGTTGCTGCTCACTGTTGAAAGAGGGTGCCACAAAGAGCAACAGATGCATGTGAGCACATTTTTAGGCATGATGCAACACATTGAAAACAAATGTGGAATTCAAACTGAAACACAGTATTATTTAGCTATATGGTTTACACAGGAGTATTATAGCTATGATATACTATAAATAAGCAAATGTTTAATATAGAGGTAAATGAGAGTTATCTGACAAAATACAACTCGGAATCTCTCCATGGCTTTGTTAATTAAGTAAAGATTTTACTCAGAATCCCAAAATTGCATGTCTCACTATTTCCATCTTGTTTTTTTTACAGCATGCATATGCATATATGGTGGTAGAAAAAATTCAGACTTAATCAACTTAGGGTATTTCAGTTCCATTGATGCAATACTGACCTTATAAAAGTACGCATACACTTCAACATATACATTCCTATACAAAATACTATGCTAAATCATATGCAGAAGGGAATACCTGTAGTGCCTATACTGAAAAAGGGGACGTGCTCGAGGCTGGAATGTGTTTGCAGGTACATTCACCCTGCAGAAAAAGTAAGTGTTGCCACACTTAATACCATTTTGACTAATTATTGATATCAATAATTTAAACAAAAAAATCTACAAGTTAATATGCGCTGGCCTTGAGATAATGATTTGGTTCGTAATGAAGTATGATATGTCAGCACAGATACAGAAAGCTGTTTCTCAAAATACCCATCTCAGCAAAACTGGAAAGGAAATGGGGCAGGTGAGAGGAGAATGTGTTCTACATGAAATACTAAAATAATGCATGAAAGGAAATATATATATGGTTTCACCACAATGTAGCACTAATATACAAGATAACCTAAAGAAGAATAAAAAGCCTACCAAACTTGACTCGGGCCCGATTTCATGCGTTTTGAGGCAGTTATTGCTTTCAGATGACCCTGCGATGATGCAAAAGTGCTAGCTGTCGAAGTTGAAGGTTGCAATAAATCAATATCAGGAAATTCCTGGATAACAGAATATTTCCATTGTTGATCATTAATCTTTGCCTCCATATCCCCTACTAGAAGAGCTGCAGCACCAACTTCAAGAAAACCCTGTGTATGAAAATCTTGAAGGCCTGCAAGATCATTGCTGGTGATAAATGAAACAAACAATGCAGTTAGTGTTTGCACAACTATCAGCATTATACTTTTAAATTCCATTCATTACGGCTAGAATGACTGGGATGCTCCAACTTGACAAAAACAGGTACAGAACACATTGCATCTTGTACTGACAAGACATTCTGGTCTACCAAAACGAACTGACAGTGAAAAATAAGCACAAGAGAAATACCTTTCCTTGGCAGAACTTGATGTTTGACGTTCACCGTATACATGCCATCGCCAATTTAGAATGTCGAAGGATATATACTTGATATCATATCCATGCTCTCCACCATCGACCTTTTCACTTGCTGACGATGTTAAATCGGGTGCAGTTTGCAATTCCTTCTTTGATTCAAGATGTTCTCTGTTGGTAACAGCTTCTGGATTCAATTGTAAGGACCTATTCAAAAATGATGAAAGTGAAGGAAGCGACTGTTTTGTAGAGGTTGATGCCAGAGACGGAGGAATTGGCTGGAATGATAACTTTGGAATATGCCTGGCAACTAATGAGCGGACATAGTTTAAAGATTTCACAAGAGATGCTGAAGCAAAGTTCGATATTGGTGGGGCAACAAGAGAGGAATTTGGCAAAGCTGCAGATGATCCAATGTTCTGGCCAAATGATGATGCTCTGTGACCTGCCACTGGGTCATACTTTGCCATGGTATTTGCACAAAAGATGTCGATTTGACGTAGCGTTTGCACCCTTGGAATATACCTTACCACGCAAAGTTGTACAGTGTATTAGTGTAAGTGCAAGCAATTTTCAAGAATAAGCATGAGACGCTGACAATTGACACTCAGCTTACCGGATAAGATATCTCTTTAACAATGCCACGCATCTTGGGACAACTGCTGGGCTGGTTGAAAAGATTGTCCACGTTAGGAAATATAATATTCACTTTTTGGGGGCATTATATTCTTATAGATACAGCGGCTCAAAAAGTCTAAATGCGGCAAGGAAATTGTGAATAATTTCAAGTATTCCAGACCCTTATCGTTACTTGATTAATTATTGTATGCCGTACAGAAAGAAGCTAAGGAGTTGTAGCTTATGACACAGGAGCTAGATAAGTTTGTCAAGAAAAACACGAGATACATGAGCACATTATGCTGAATCTTTACCCCTTGTAATGTGGAATGGGGAAAGAGCTAGAAAAGGCGAAATGAAAGCGAAAAGCATACCTCCGATCTCTTTCTGCAAGAGCATGGTCAATCAGGACATTATAAGCCATATCGATGGTTGACAGGTTAGCTATATAATCCTGCCAGCATAAGATCACTCATCAGGAAATGGCATATATGTGCACAAGTTGAGGAGAGATGATAACAGAGTTAAAAGAATCTTGCTGCATTACAAAACTTTGTTTGCCATCAATAGCCCAAAATACCAACAGCGGTAAGCCGGTAACAGAGAAAGCAGATAACGAAAATATGCTGGCCAGGTGATGAACTATGATGGATGTACCAAATAATTTAACAAAAAAAGCAATTAACCAAACGGTCAAAAGGATTCAACAATTTTATATACTTTTACCTTCCAAAAAAATTCACATTAGACGATGTGCATGCAATTATATATAGCAACTGACAGATAACGTGTCCAAATATAACATTCATGTATCTTGCAAGTCATAATGTGAAAAAGAACAGTAGTCAGGTTTTGTTTCTTTGGCAAACACCTTGAATGTATGTCATATAGGGGAGCTTGTAAACAGACCAAGCCAGTGTGTTTATGTTTCATGTGCAAAAGGCAACACCAGCGGGCTTTCATTTCCAACGGTGGTCGGTGGTCTTAGGCGACACGCTTTCCATTCATTAATCATGAAACAATACAAAACTAGAGTATGATGAAATAAACCATTAGAAACTACGCGGTCATGTCATTCGTGGGCATGAATCGTTTCTCGGCGTCATTGGAAATAAGTGGGCGGCACATTCCAATTCCAATCAACACTACAGGCACCAATTTTGTATGTAATTCAGTGCATTGCGCCGTGCAGTATTATCTGACATACAAGGCGACAAGCAAACCAAATATAAGCTGCTGGTTTCTCTCCAACTGCGTCTTAGAACAGCAGGTAGTGCCAAATGAGTCATTACCGAATCCCATTCGCAAGAGAGAAAGCAGAGAAGCTAAATATGCTGGGCAGTGATGAATCACAACGGGTATACGAAACAATTAACAAATCGAGCAACCAAACAGCGAATGCAACCGATAGTCAAAAGGAGAAAGAACTTCACATTAGATGATGTGCTTTTAATTATATATACGAACTGACAGATAACATGTCTGAATATAATACTATTCACATACTCCCTCCGTTCCCAAATATAAGTCTTTTTAGACATTTCAAATGGGCTACAACATACGGATGTATGTAGACATATTTTAAAGTGTAGATTCACTCATTTTGCTCCATATGTAGTCACTTGTTGGAATCTCTAGAAAGACTTATATTTAGGAACAGAGGGAGTAGATTGCAAGTCATAATTTGCCAAAACAGTAATTAGGTATTGCTTCTTTGGCAAACACCTTGAATGTGTGTCATATAGGGGGGCCTGTAAACAGACATAGTCAACGTGTTTGTGCTTTATGTGCAAAAGGCGAGGCGGAAGCGCCCTTTGATTCCGAACGGCGGTCGGTGGCCTTAAGCGACACATGTTCTACTCATTAATCGCGAAACAACAGATACCAGGATATGATCAAATAATATCATGACAAACTACGCAGTGACGTCACTCGTGGACATGAACCGTTTCTCAATGGCGCTGGAAATAATTGGGTGGCGCGTTCCAATTAATACTATAAGCACCAATTTATGCATCATTCAATGCATTGCCCAACACCAGTGCCGCCGTGACGTACGAGACGACAATGGAGAAGCTGCCGGTAACTCCGCAACCTGGGGTTCAGAAAAGCAGCCAGCGCCGAGCGAGCGCGCCATTGCCAAACCTAGCCATTCACGAGCCGCTTAGCGCGAGGGGCACATCAATGTGGTTCCCAGCTAGACTCAAGTCATCCATTCCTCGGCGTCAACATAATAAGTGGGTGGCGCGTTCCAATTGATACTATATATAGGCACCAATTATGTGCATCATTCAATGCGTTGCGCAACCCTAGTCGTATCATGGCATACAAGGCGACAACCGAACCAAATGCAAGCTGATGGTTACTCTGCAGCTTGACCGGGGGTTCGGAGCAGCAGCTAGCGGCGTATGAGCGCGCCATTGCTAAATCTAGCCATTCGCAAGTCGCTTGGGCGGCAAATTGACGAGATTCCTGGCTAGCTATAAGCAAGCACGCGAAGGACTGACTAGTGCACATGTATGGCAACCAACCAAGGAGGGGCCGAGATTTACGAAAGGGAGATGGGTGGAGAACTGACCCGGAGGGTGCGGGAGGCCTCGGCGGCGGCGGAGGCGGCGGCGGCGGCGGGGCCGTGGGTGTGCGGGGCCGGCGGGGAGAGGCAGTCGGCGACGGCGCGGCGGAGCGGCTCGGGCGGCTTCCGCGCGGACGCGGACGAGGCGGCGGCGGCGGCGGCGGCGGAGAAGGAGGGCGCGGCGGACATGGCCCGCGGTGGGGGCATCCCCACGGCCGCCACGCGCCCGCTCCCGCCCGCCCGCTTGGACGGCGCGTCGTGGGGCCGCATCCCGGCGGGCGCGAGATCCCCCCG